AGCGGGACGACCATATGGGGAACACTGCCAGGACGATCTCAAACGACCCAGACGTCTGAGACGACCTCGATCGCTAGAATAGAATTGAGTTCTATCCGGACGATCGGGACGATCAAGTAAATTTTGAAGCGATTATATAAAAACGCTCTCAGCAGACAACTGGGACGATCGGAACGATCTAAGGCTATCCCAGAAACCATCAGCCTTATCAATCGGGAAAAAATTCGGGCTGGACGCCGCTGAAGTAGAAAAAAAAAATTAAACAAAAATATTCCCACCGAGTGGGCGCTATTTTAGGGCGCTATTTAAACAAAAAAAGTCCGTTCTATCAAGTTTTCGAGGTGACGTCACTATGTCTTCGTGGAACTCTTCTACGCCGAGAGAAAAAGCGGATGGTAAGACAAGAGGTTTGCTCTGCGATTAAAATCCACCATTATATTCGGCTTGTTTGCGAAACACGCGCAAAAATTCCATCGTCCGACCCAGAAACATCGCTGACCACCAGGCGCTTCTTGTTTTGGGGGCGATCGAGGCGATTGTATTGAAATTAAAATCGTCCCAGTCGTTCGGATCGTCTCGAAATTTTTTGAAACGACTGTGGCGATCGGGAAGATCATATGGAAACCAGGGCTTAAGTAGTCTAAAGTGACAAGATTAAGAACAGATCCAGAGGATCCAGAGGATCGAATGGTGAACGTATGGCCCATCTCTGCTCATTTCTCCTGTAAATGGTTGCCATAAAAGTGACAGTAAATCATTGCAATAAATACGTTTAGCAATTCGTCCAGGAATTTATGTGATCTTTTGTTAGCCTTACCCCAGTCTCTTTCTCTAAACGGCCGTTTCCTGTTCCTGTTTAGTATATATAACACATGAGTATTTTGTTTTAAGTTAAAATAACTGCCTTTCAGCAGTATTTTAGGACGCTTCTGAACTGTAAGATCATAATAAAAATTCAAAAGAGAATAAGAATGAAGCTATTTTTACACATTGGGAAAGAGAAAGTAACGGATATATACGTCGTTAACAAGATTAAATAAGACCTTATTTAGCTGTCACTGAAAGGTACCAAAGGGGCCCGCAATCCTAAGTCTAGGTTATTATTACGCATATGTGACACTTCTGTAGCCAGCATTCGTCACTGGACTTCCACTTAGAGGGGAATGCATAGAACGCAATCTGATCACGCACGTTTGTATCCTTTATCACTACTCATCATCTGATCGTGCGTGTAACTGGATCTTCACGTGAAACGTACGCAAAGCACCAGCCTTTGACAAACGATCAGAAACCTGCAAATCTCCCGCACTCCCTAACCTTTTTTTATGACTAGTATTTATCTGAAACAAATCGATCGATAAATATTTTTAGCTTGTTTGCTTTGTTTTGCCAATGAAGGTCTCAGGGCAATTTTACTTTCTAATTGTAAGAATAAATACTATTATTTACATTATTATATTCATGCAAATATTTTCCGTTTCTGATTGGCTCAAATCCCGTGGGTTATTCTAGTGTTGACGAAGGAAAAAGTTTGCGATATAGGGTAAAATAGAATAACATCGCCAGATGGGACGACAACTGCTATTTGAAGAATGGGTTCCTGACATCTCTTTGTAATCTGAATTTGCCCAGAAAAAGACAAGACGGGGACTAAGCTTAAAGCATGTTTCAAAAAGCGTATTATTTTTGTTCGTGTTCAATTGGCCTGACAAAAGGAATTTTGATTCTATCATCTCAAATGTTTTTCAACATGACTCGAAATTAAAACAAATAAAAAATCTCGGTTATTCAGTGTAACGGATATTGATATCGTTAGACACATCTTACAATAACTTAATTTCAATAAATCCACAGCAAAGCTCAAGAAACAGTTAAAAAGCCATAATCCTAATTTATGATGTCTCTTGTGGTAACTCTTCCATTTCTTCCATTCACAGTCTTTACCACCGCCGCCACCATCATCTCATCACCACTGCTTGTCCAGTTTGGACTGCGTAAACACTAAGAATCAATAGATCGTCTTCACTGTCACGCAACAAAGAAATAAATTGGAAACCGTTGAGTGGCAGAAGCTAAGAAAATGAGATGTTATAAAAGACTAATATATAAACAATTTGTCCAAGTCTCAGGTCTTTGTGGCCCACAGTTTCTGAGTTATTTGCCGAAACGTTTCACGCACCTTTGTGGAGCTTTGTATGGAGACGCCATATTGATGTACCGTTTTGGTGCACCAATATGGCCGCCGGAAATCAACAAAAACATCTGGAGTTCACTTTGCTACGGGACTGGAAAGTTGTACAAAGACTTATTTTTTGTCTATCTTCAACCTAGTGTAAATAAGAATTCGTAAAGCCCCGCTATTTTGACTTTACAATTTGATGACGTCACTGTGAAAACCATCTATAAACAATACGTAGCAAAAAAACTCATTATTTTCAATAAGTCGACTGATACGTCAATGATCTTCCTGGCTAGACGCGAAAGATCTCACACTAAGGTGGCCCGAACCTATTTAAAAGCGTTGGTTATATTTTGATTTGCGTTTTTCAGAATGAAAGATTCAACCGATTTCTATGATTTTTGGCATCCTTCATTAAACAAAAATGGAACTTTCAGAAAATGTTATTTATTTTCTTGCAGTTATAAAAACCTTTGAGATATCGGCATATATTTATAAACGCATTTTTACGAAAAATGTAAATGACTTCGAAACCCCACGACGGATTTTTCCCTAACTTCAGCAAATAAGCCTCAGACCTCTCTAGTTTTACATCTGCAAGTTTGAAGGCAATCGTGACCGTAGAACTCGCTGCACAAAATGCTGGTCAAATTTAACCTCAAAATGCTACGCTAATTACACATTTGTGAAAGTTGACGCACAAATAGAGGAAGACTGCCGACCGGACTATCTCCTATCTGAAAGGATGTTCCCACCAAAAGCTTAATTGCAAGAAACAGAGTAATCAGAAACTTATGGCGAATACAGTTAGCATTTTAAGAAGAACAATTTTAAGCTAAGTAAGCGGTGATATTAAAGAACTTCTATTCATCAAACTTACTTTGTATTTGTCCCTCTCTTTTAGAAACAAAGAAAAATATAGCTTCTTCGAAAAACTGTCAATCGTTTTTAGCGTCGCAGGTTCCCGTTTTGAAGAGAAATAAGACCACCAACTCCAGTACTTCTAACCATCCATTTTTCAGCTGCAAGAATAACCCTTGCATTTGGTAATTTATTCACGCTTTCAAGACTTACCATCACACTCGCACGGGCAATTTACTGTTACGGATAATGAGACAAATAAGACGATTGTCATATTTGTCTTCATCTTTATTCCCAGTGAACGTGTCGCTATGGCTTTGAAGTTTTAAAAGTCTTTTTGTAACTGATGTTGAGCAATCGTCTGAGACGAGCTTTTAAAAACACCTGCTATTGGTGTCTGGTAATGCGTCTCGTAGGAACTCGACAGAGAGTAAACTGTGCTGTTTTGGAAATGACTCAACCAGGTGGCAAATCACAGAGAGGGAGACCTAGAAACCCAAACTCAGTTCACAATATAAAGTCACTTTTTAATTATATAGTATTATGTGAAGAGAATTGCAGTCAACGCCATTAAAAATTGTGCATACTGGGCGTATCTGTCAATTTTACGTTAATGAAAAATCACGTTAGATTTTATAAAAATTTAATAATTGCAAATATTGGTTGTTATACTTTGCTATGCCTTGTAAAGAGTTGACGGTGATTTATCAAGGAAATTTACATACAGACTACTCAAAGCACTTTATTTTGTATTTTTTGGTTAAAAGAACGCAACTTTGTCAACTGACATTTCAAAGCAGGTTGCATTCTGTTGACTAGAGGTATTCTTCTTATCTGACTGTTTAAACACTAGTTAATTATATAAAAGATAATAAATTAAAGATGTTTGAAATTTTTGAATAAAAAAGGCTTCTTTAAACGAAAATTTGGTAATAAAGTTGTGTAACTGCGTTCTGACTTACCTTATCTCAAGGGAAATGTAACTGATCAGTAACGTATCAATAGCTCGTAAGGCATCAAGTCTTTTTTCTCTTTTTCCATTAAAAAAGAATAAACCTACATGAAGATGAGCTGGCTACCTTTTTAACTTATTATATAATAGGCTTTAAGAACAAACGCCGGAAACACAAACAGGACATAGTATTTGGTAACATTAACGAATTAAACTTTATCGTGGTTTATTTTGTTGGGTTACCGCACCTGTTGGAAACTGAATTTTTTTGGCGCCAAATTAAGTAACAATGATGGTGGTGGTGGTTATAATGCAATGAATTTTTCGGAAAAGGCTTTGTGTTAGAGAAAAAAAAAACGTTCTATCAGCAAGCTCTGAAATGGCTAAAGCTATCTAACATCCCACAGAGAATACGTACAAAGGAAGCCAGAAGGAGATTACAATTAAACGTATTTTTATTGAATGTAGGAAAATGTGGGAAGAAATGATTTGCATAACTGTAGAAATTATAGTACACAGATTCTACATTCTTGAGAAAGAAATACACAGACGGCTTTCCACCAATCTTTTAAACGTTTTAAGATAATACTTTCAAATTGATTGTCAATCTAATTCGGCTCAAGTCTTAAACATTCGTCACTCACATTTATGTATGCATTTTTAAAACGTTCTCGTCAAATTTCGCCGACGCAATGTACAATCAAAAAATAATGACACCTCAAATTCAGGCCACAAGTGTTGCGCATTGATTTTAGCGCGTTTATTATAAACATTTCGGTGAACTACACCATTTTCAGTGCCCTTTGAGCGGTACAAAAAATTAATGAAATCTATTTTTCCGTTTTGCAAGTCTGATATGCGGTTTTAATCTATTTTATCATTTGGTAAACTGGAAATTTGGTGAAATGAACCTCTCCTTCACTATTTGACTTTACTATCCAAGACAAGTAAACAGCTCAACTATATTTCTTTTAACAGACTGCTGAAGACAGGACTTCACCTGCCATCATGAGGGCTTACACGATGACATTAGTCCTCATGTTGCTTCCGCTTATTGTTAGAAGATCTGATGAAGCTGAAGAAAAAGAGAAGTAATCAGACCCTTATACAAATCTATGTTTAAAGATAATTTTGACTTAAACTTTGCCTGTCAGGGATAAGGGCGAGTACTGCAAAAATTTCCTTGAAACGAAGTTTTAATCTATCCTCTAGCGGTACTTTCATTATTTCGCTAAGATTACTGACGGAAATTTAATTATTAGTCCCTAATTTTCTATCCAGGGGTTGGATTTTTCTTGTTCCATTTTCTCTATCGTGTACTACAAGCATTTTTAAGTCCGCGTTGAATGTTTCAAGTGAATTTTGAAGAACAGCAAAATGGGCTTATTATTAAGCGGCGACTATTCGACATGTTGTTTGTGTCAAAAACAGTAGCGATAGAGGAAATTAATATGGGTACATTCATAGCATAAAAAAACTAAAGGAAAGAGTGATTTCTGTCCCGCCTTATTCTCTATTTTCGAAAAAGAAAAAATAACCTGTTCATCTCTTTTAATTGACAAAAAGAAAGCACAACTAGGTACTAAGTGATTTTGAAGTAAAATGACGCCAGTTCGTTTTTGAGTAACCTGATGAAGTGATCTCTTTCATACTGTTAAGTAGATGGCATCGTTAGCAGGATAGAGTTGTTTAATTACAACTCGAAGAAAGGCAGAATATTTAATTTTTTGTGACTGTATGCAAGAAGCCTCTTCAAAACGTTTTGGCCGAAAAGAGAAATAATGTCAAATTTTTCAAAGAAATTGTGACAATATTGATCTTGCTCAATGGTCTGAACGGTATAAGGCCAAAAAAGGTCAGCGTAGAGTGCCAACTTTAAGCCGTTTTACTATTCGGATCAGTCTTTGATTAAATATGTTTTTTAATTTTTTCAAATAACTAGGAAAAATGTAAAGGATAAAACTTTCATGGAATGTTGACCATGTTATGGCCAGCAGACGGGAGGTCAAGAGAAATATGAGATCAAAAACTAAATTGTAACGTTAAAAACTTGCAGTTCATTTATTTCATTGGTTCCTTAAGTGGGCAAAATATAATATTATCGGCTAGTATTTTCTTCTATACCACTAAACATCTACCTATCTTCGCTAAATGAGAAAATACGAGGTCAAGAGAAAAATGACCTCAATGCACTCTTCTCGGAAGCCCAGTTTTGTGCTAGTATGGCAGCTTGCCGCCTGCGTCGTATATTATAATCAGGTAGTTTTTCTCTTCATTAAAGAGCACTGGAAGACTATGCGAAATCCATGGAGCTGGCCTTAAAACTTTCACAGAAAATAAATGAAGCTTTAGCAGTACACGATAAGAAGGTGCGACCAAACGCAGGAGGTGAGAGCAGCTTGTAATTAGTATATAGTTTACTGTCCTTTCACAGCCGCGTTCATCGACTCAGTTAAGCTACCCTTGAGGAGCAATTTTATATTCTACGATTATTCTTCGATTCTCGTTGTCACAGCTTCGACATTCTAGAGATGAATTAAGGAGGAGAGAAATATAGAGTAAGTGCGGACCCAAAGGACACAAACTTTCAGTCTAAAAGGGGATAAAATTAAAAAAACGTACATTTCATGTATATGATTTCTCTCACAGGTCCACCAGTTATGGTTGATGTAGAATTCAAAATTATCTCAATTGGGGAAATTAAAGAAGCTCAGATGGTAAGAGGCACTCTAGATTTGATTAGTTTACATGATGTCGCGCGGTTACTCCCTGTATTGTTGATCATTTACATCTATCTTGCTTCTTCATAAGTTCGAAAGCAACCTGTAAACCAGCTATTTGCTTAAATTGTCATAATTGTCATCATTATTAGTGGCAATTGCCATTATTATTTTTTATGGAAGACTTTATAGTAAAATTATCGTCTTTTATAAAGTGCAATTATGAGCCCGATAGAGTACTAAAGTGTGACGTCATAAAAATGAAATTTCTGAAATTATGGGATTTGTCAGGATATTTTGAAAGAACAATGTCCAAGAGGCCTACTTGCCAAAAATGAGCATTTGGGGGCAAATTGTCTCTGAGATCGTAGCCCAGTTATGCTTACAAAACTCCATACAAACCCTCCTCAATTTTTTTTGGGTCGACCCAAAAAAAAAATTACAAGGGTTTGTATGGAGTTTTCTGAGTATAACTGGCCTACGATCTCAGAGACAATTTGCCGCGAAATGCTCATTTTTGGCAAGTAGGCCTCTTGAACATTGTTCTTTCAGAATATCCTGACAAATCCCATAATTTCAGAAATTTCATTTTTATGACGTCATCACTTTAGTGCTCTATAGCCTTTGCAATTAAACTATGTATAAAAGCATTAAAAAAACAGTTAAGTTGCGAATAAAATGAATAATAAAATAGTAGAAATCAATGATAACCATTTAAAATGGAGATCAATATTTATGTAGTCAAAAACAGTCTCATCTATAGCTAATCTTTGTGGATTATTATCGTTATTATTATTATTATTATTAATATTATTATTTTCATTATTATTATTGGTTCTTATACTTGGATAACAAAACTCATTAAATTGAATTGATTGCTGAGTGTGAGGTCAGCTTAATCTATTAATCCTGACCTTTTACCTATAAAGGAATACACAATGGATATATTCTTCCGTCAATGGTGGACTGACCCAAGACTGGCACATAATATGAGCACTCCTTTCAATATGGCAGGAGATGCAACTCAAATGATCTGGACACCAGATACGTTTTTCTGGAATGTAAAAGCAGCAAAATATCATGGTGTAACGCGAGAAAATATGAGAATAAAAATACATGGAGATGGCAAAGTCTACTTCAGCACAAGGTAAAGTGACCGGTAACGCTCATACATTTAAAACGTTATTGTAAATATTTATGATTATGATTATGATTATGATTATGATTATGATTATGATTATGATTATGATTATGATTATGATTATGATTATGATTATGATTATTATTATTTGCAACCGCAACACATCGAGTAACTAATAAAACAAGCGTGTGCCTTTCCAGGGCTGGTTTCAGGATGAGTGGGATTTTAGCCAATCAGATATGGAAAAATATTTTGATTGAATAATAATACTGATTCACACTTGGTTCCGAAGCTCAGGGATTAAAAAATAGAGAGATTTGAACCACCTGGTGAAGTATATTCTTGACTCTAAACTGGAAGCCAAGCATTGGCCTTGTTGCAGTCAAACAAACAAACGAATAAACAAACTCGGAAACCCTGCCCGCCCCATTGATTATTATAAGAGTTACACGGGTGACAGTTCTTACAGGTGTCAGTTTATAGAGCTTCTCAATGTCTCTTTTTTTACCTGGTTCTTAAAAGAAGCAGGTGTTTGTGAACTCTTAAAAAGCATACTTAGTTTGAACCATGCATATTAAAGGACCAATATATCTAATACTGTCTTTCCCATAGATGGTATACGTAGTATTTATTTTGGAATAAAAAAAATGTCTGAATTTGTCAGGTTATAACTTCTGTTGTTTAGGGTGGCTCGACTGGATTTTTTAGGGAGTATACCTCCCAACTTTGGGCGTTTACCAAGTCGCCATTAACAAAGATAACTCAAAAAGGTTACCACAGCGGCACTGTGTAAAGATGAAAGTTTCATATTTTTATGTATTGGCCTTCAACCTCTAAGTTGATTTAAGGTTTGACATATATTCTGTTCTTTTTAGCATTACTTTTACAGCGCAATGTGATATGAATCTTCGCATGTACCCAATGGACATTCAAGTTTGCCCTTTAACTATAGAGAGTTGTAAGTACAATCTCTCTGTCCTAATAACCCTGGATTTATCACGTTTTTTCATGTCCTAAAGATTGTTTTATAGTAATAAACGTCTGAAGTGAAAGTAACTGCAGTCGTTTGGTGAGCCAATACTTTGCTTCCTGATAATTTAAAGTACGTTGATCGGCTTTTTAATTGTGTGTCTCAAATGAAACTCCTGTTATTATTTACTAATTTTTTCTCACGTATCAATAGGCCATTTCCGAGTTCCCCCGGGCCTCTGTTTCAAAACGAGGATAGGTGCTCAGCCTTTGATATGGAAATCATTTTTCATTCTCATGCAAGTAAAACTCATTTTCACAAAAATGGTTGTGCACCTGGCCTCATTTTGAAAGTAAGGGCTTTTGGAACTCGGAAGAGGCCTATTGCAAGCTTGGAAATGAGGACCATGAGCGTCAGTCTCTTTAAAAAGGCGACAGTCGATCAAATTATAAACACAACGAATGAAATCTAAAAAAAGACCGCAAGTCGACTACGCTGTGACACTAACACTTGTGATGGATCGACATGCCAACTTCAGCTTCAACGTTATTTGCACTGTGCAGATGAATTTATCTTACACATAGAGAAGATATAATTTTGTCACAGAAATGTACTCAAATATTGATAAACGGAAAAGCTAGAGAGGATGTGCACAGTGGCCAAAGGGGCCCACGTTTTCGAGTTGGCCACTGTCATGTTTGAAATCTAATCTGTGGCTGCCCTCGAAAGTCGTACTTGGCATCCGAAGGAGTTTCGTTGTTATTCACAAGAAAAAGAGAAAAACTTAAATCGTCAGATCTTTTCTTTATATCCAAATAATCTTTAACTCTTCAGTTCTTCAGATAACAACTGAGTCTGCCTTACACGATACGGATGAGCGAAGGATTACATGGATTGTAAACCTAAATCACACATGTGATAAACAAGAACATGGCGGCAACTAGCACGAGTCCTTAGCAAAATGGTAACAACCGCTGACCATAAATACTGAAAACTTCTTACTACAGCACTGCTGTAGTAACATAATCAGAAAAAACCAAGATTTATATTCGTTAAGATAAACGGGCACATTACTAGGATTAAATTAGCTGCAAAAACCGTGGACGAAGATCCTGCTAGTTGTAAACGTTGGATCTCTAGAAAAGAGATCAGATCAGCCAAAATATAAAGAAACAAGAACAAGAAGTCCAAAGACTACTGCAAAGCTGATTAGGCAAGCATAATCTACAGTAAATATTATACTAACTGAAGCATAGCTTAACCTGGGAGCTCACTCAAGCGCTCATTCATTCCGTGTGATGGGCTCCTCATTAGTGATAAGAGATATCTTCCACGTTTCAGATGCACATACCACAAAAGATGTTGATTACCGATGGAAAGGAGGCAAGTCACAGGGCGTTGAGATTTTCTCCAAGGAAATGGCTCAGTTTGAATTTGTCGGTGCCAAAACGTCGACTAAGGCAAACACCAACAGTAAAGGCAAGCAATTTTAATCAGTTAAGATAAAATTTGTAGCATTTTCGTTTAGGTCATTTGGCTCTTTATTTTTTAAATTTGATTTTACGGACTTTAAAATTAGTTATTCTCTACATGCACAGACTAGCGTTTGTCTTTTTGTCTGTAAATAAAGGATCCTTTACTAGTCTACAAGCATTTTTTACCTTCAAGAGACGTGTGTCGTACTTCATTACCACCACCTTTATGCCAGCAGTGGTTCTTGTGATTCTAAGTTGGTGCTGCTTTTGGATCGACCGTTCTGCTGTTCCGGCACGAGTAGCTCTCTCCATAACAACTATTCTAACTACCATTTTGCTGTATGGCTCGGTCAACTCCAATATGCCCAAGGTAATTTTACTGAAATAGCAAACAAGAACATTAACGCAGATACTGCAATAAAAGATAAGCACTGCGAGTTTGATAGAACCCAATAACGCAGTGACACGATCTGGGGCGTACGATACGCAGTGTTAGTTCCCCAAGTAAATTCTGAGAGTCTGCAAAGTAGTCAAAGAAGCCCTGTCTTCAAGACATTTACCTCTAAATAGACATTTTAAAATTGTGGCCTTTTCCTATATACCTTGAAATTTTACCCCATAGTAGCGCCCCAGTGAGTTACTTCGCACTGAGCGGGGCAACGTACTGTAGAATCTATCAAGAATCTATCAAGAATCTACCAAGTCACAGTTACCGGCGAATGTTGAAGCTCGTTGCAATTTACGTTATAAAAATTGTTCACATACTAAGAACTTTTCTTCGTGGGATAACAGATTACTTTCAAAACTACTGGTCCCTCGAGAAACTTGTTAATTTTGTCTGCCGAGAACTTCAATGTTTCTCCAGGGGCCAGACATTATAGTTAACTTTATTTAACGCCTTGTGACAAAAAAAAATATTTTTAAGAGAAAAAGTTTTGTTTTTGCACAAGAATAAATTGACACGATAGGCACAAAAAGAAGGAAAAATATGCGGTTTCAGAAGTATAACTTGGTGTTTAAGGTTATAACTTTGAAGCGGTCACGGTTTCTTCTGACTCATCATCACTTTTAACGTCAATATCATGCCGCCTACAACAATACTCCCAGCTTCCTTTTTGGCGTATAGGTTCTAATGATACATAATTATATGCAAACACTACAGTTTTGTCATGTTGCTTCTTTTCTTTATCTCTATCCTTATTATCCTGGCTTACTTGTGTGGCACAATTTAACGACGCGTGCATAAGCACTGAGATTATAAAGTGCGTTAGTCTGAACGTTCGACGCAAGTGAAAACAAGCCTTAATACTAATGGCTTAAATTTGGCTTTTTGGTAGGTAAGTTACAGTAAAGCTATCGATTACTTCCTGATGACTTCACTGGGTTTTATATTTATGGCACTACTGGAATACATCCTTGTGCTTAATACGGATCCACGTTTCTGCAGCCAAAGACGAAAAGAAGTAAGCAATGAAAAGATGAAGTCATTATACAAGGTAACGTGTTGACTCTTTGAGCTCTTTTCAGACAAAAGAGCGTTTCCACATGACGTCACGGCGACCATATTGCTGTTCCAAAATAATGTCTTGTTCCAAGAAATTTTGCTTAAATGCTTTCCACGTGAGTAAAAACGCTATCAGAGTGAACACTTGAAATAAACGGAAGTTCTTCATTTTAGAACCTTTTTGCAGCCACTTAAAAGCAGTCAACATAAATGTATTAAATTTTAGTTGTAAAAATGAGTTATAGATGTTTATTTGTCCCAAAGACATAAAGCATAGCGTAATTTGGTTTGATTAGCTTGCTTACTGATGCTTTATTTTTTTGGGTCAGTTTGTTTCAATCCCATTAACTAATGATATATATCAAGAGAGGATAAAGGGGACAGAGAAGGCATGCTCCATACATACCGTATTCCATAGGTAATTCTTCTCGAGTTATTTTTAAGACCACAGATCCCAAGGGGGATTAGACAACAGCCAATCACATAGCGCGAATGTGTTTCACGTGGATGACCCACGCTCAGAGCCACGCGTCCTTCACGAATTCACGCTGAAAAAAATGGCACAAGAGTCGGAGAGCGATATTGCTATTCGTTTTGTCGACGAAAACGACTAAAGAGAGATTCCTACTAAAGCGGTGTCAGCGAAATGGAAATTGAAAAAGAATCGCCCTTCCTCTCTTGTACAGAGCTAACAGTACGGCACGGAAATCCTTAGCACGCTGAATATTCTCTCAGATTCATTTATAATTTACAGTTTGAAGAGAGCAATATGTGGTTTGATATTTATTCTTTTATTAGTCTTTTACTATTCAACAAAAATAACACTTGGCGTCCTACTTGCTTTATTGTACAAACGACCGGTTTCAATAGGGATCTCTTTTCTAGAGATCCAACGTTTACAACTAGCGGATCTTCGTCCACGGTTTTTGCAGTTAATTTAATCCGATTTCAATAGACCGGCGAAATTTCTCATTTTATTAAAGCACTGAGGTTACGACAACTTCGAGTTAAACTGATTTCACGGGTTGTCAAGGAGTCCAGCGATTCCCTTTTCCTAGGTGAGCGCCGACTCATTTCGCTTCAATATTCAGAAATGCTCTCATTGCCTTTCGCCCGACATGTTTTGCACGGCGTTTAATCATGCGAAACCTCCACGAAACATCCACGCAGTGCGCGAGGTAACTTTATCCCGATTCTAAAAATAACTCGAGACGAATTACCTATGGAATAGGGTGTGTATGAGGGATGCCTTCTGTGTCCCCTTTATCCTCTCTTATATATATCTAATACCAATATTCTTTTGGCAAGCAGCAATTTTTCCATTATTATTTAAAAAGTAGTTTAAGAATATGTTTAATCGATTGGATCATTTCTAGGAGATTCCTCCTGACACCCTTGTGGGCTTAACGGATAGACAGAACAAACCAGATGAACTTCCCATGACGCCTTTAAACGGAGACAGCAAGATGATTGACAAGGAGCCGCCCAAGACGCCAGAAAATGTTAAGAATCATTGGATCGACTGCGTGTCCAGAGTTGTTTTTCCAGTGATTTACTTCTCATTTATAATTTTTTACTGGATATACTACTTTAATCACCCTGATTCTGCGCTTAGTAACTAAGTGCAGGAATAACGTTTTACGCTTAACAGGACCTGGGTTGAGTTATGTCAAGAGAGGGTAACTTCCATGTAATTTTAAAAGTTTTGAATATGATAGATTAAGTGTAAAAACTTTCGGGGTTTGAAATTCATTCCAACTCCTGTCATGAAAGAAAACCAGATAAGGAGCCAACTAATTTCAGACTTTAACCAATTTGCCAGAAGGATGCGCCTCAAATACATTTATCATGGCAAAGATACTGTACCACACCCCTTCCATGTGAAGTCTAGTTGGATTCCCCCAGTTCAACGGTCAGTTGCTCTAGAATCCTATTTAGAGGAAGTCAAACTACGGCTAACAGAAGTGCCACTAAATAAACCTAAAAACAATCTGCCGCCTGGGGAGCGCCGAGCGCTCCGTGAACTTATTCAAAACAAAGAAATAATCCTTAAGAAAGCAGATAAAGGCACAACAACCGTCATAATGAAAAGAGAGAACAAAATAAATGAGGGACAAAAACAGTTGGATGATAGAAACAACTATCAACCTTTGGAAAAACCAATGGTTAAGGACACATCCCAGAGAGTTAAACACCTCATTAACACTCTACATAACGAAGGTTTCATTGACGAAATGACAGTAAAATGGTTTAACCAGACACCAGATCCGCCACGAATTCCAGTATTCTACACTCTCACAAAAATACACAAACCGACTTTAGTTGGAAGACCTATCATTTCGGGGTGCGATGGCCCCACAGAACGCCTCTCATCATTTGTAGACAAGCTACTTCAGCCAATAGCACAAATACAAGACTCGTATCTTAAAGATACGACACATTTTATAAGATTTATCGAAAACACTAGGGTGCCTAGTAACGCTTTCTTAGTCTCAATGGATGTCACCAGCCTTTACACGAATATCCCACAGGAGGAAGGAATTACTATAGTATGCAACGCATACGAAAAATTTCATGACAAAAACCCTCCTATAGCTACACACCTGCTTAAAGAAATGCTCAGTCTTATCCTTAAAGAGAACTCTTTCCATTTCAATGGGAAAGACTATCTCCAGACTCACGGAACTGCTATGGGCACGAAAATGGCAGTAGCTTTTGCCAACATTTTTATGGCAACAATAGAAAAGGAGATCTTAAAACAAAGCAGAAGGAAACCACTAACGTGGAAAAGGTTTATTGACGACATATTCTCTTTGTGGGACACAAACAAAGAAGATATAGATCTTTTCATTGAGCAAGCCAATTCTTTTCATCCTACAATCAAGTTCACTGCTGAAATATCACAAATTGAAACCACATTCTTGGACACGACAGTCTATAAGGGAGAGAGATTTGAGAAAGAAAGAATTCTCGACGTGCGCACACATTTTAAATCTACTGAAACGTTTCAGTACACTAACTTTAACAGTTGCCACCCACCAGGCGTTAAAAAAGGTTTTGTCAAAGGAGAGGCTCTTAGACTTCTAAGAACTAACTCTTCTAAAGTCATATTTGACAAGAATATTAAAAACTTTAAAACACGCCTTATCTCGAGAGGCTACCCAGAGAGTATGGTAGAAAAGATCCTCTCAGAAGTTAAATATGCAGATAGAGCGACAGCTCTGACACAAAAACAGAAAGCGCAAAAAATACTTTTACCCTTTGTCACGCAATTTCAACCGTCATTACCAGGTTTGAAAAACATACTAATGGAAAAATGGCATTTAATAGAAAACCAGCCACTACTCAGAGAGATATTCAAGGAACCTCCCTTGATCTCTTATAGAAAAGGAAAGTCGCTTAAAGACATGCTTGTTAAAGCAAAACTGTAAAGGCTTATAACAACACAACGGTCACACAGCAGGAGCCGCGCAGGTCTGTCAACCCCATTTTACCATCAACGAAAACGTTTCAGTTTCCAAACACTCTGGCGGTAAGTAAAGCCACAGGGATTGTGAGCTGTGATCCAAATTCGTATGTCATAACAGATGAATTTGATCACCAAGTAAAGACACAAGGCAACCGGAAAACACGTTCGGATTGAGCAATGAAAAAATAGCCTGCGTTGCAGCCGGCCCACACACTCGTAGCTATAGTCCGTCCGTCTGCGAATTAGTGCACAAAAACTCGTTCTAATGTCCTGCAGAGTCGCAAGGACATATGTGAGCGTTTCTGATAGGCGGGTTTCTCATAAGCCTCACGATTGGCCTAATTCTTACGTGTGCGTGACGGTTGAGCGCAGTGACATGTCAAAGGAGTTGGCAAGAATTGTTTACAGTAAACAATGAAAGAGCAGGTCTAGCGTCAAAACAAAGTAGGAAATCATGATATTCACGGCCAAAAAAAAACCTGCACAAATGTAGCTATTCAGGTCCATGCATTTAGGAGAAAACCAACGAGACTAAGGTTATTTAGCCACAATAAAAAAGCTTAAGGCTTTAACAGAGGTAAAAGAAACTGCATCCGTGATCACATCTTGTCAGAAAACATTTGCCGAAACATAAACCACAGTAACTAATTACTAAATATGCATGAAACAGACCAGCTTCATAACCTCTAAATGCGAGACTCAGGGTGGCAAAAAAAAATTTGCTCAGTCAAAGTGTAGAATACTCCAGGCACTGCATAAACTACGCAAAAGGAGAGCAAGAAAAACCTCTATTGCTCAAGCTGACTCTAAGGTCACGTTCCACACTATCACAAGCTCAATCCGCCGCTTGTCACGAGCTATAGTCGTGTTTGGCCTGTCAACACTTAATTCAAATCGGACTAATCCAAAAACGCGTAAGAAACTAGCCAATCAAAAACGTCGACATATGTCATTGCGACTCTGCGGGGTTCGAACACGATATTAGAGAGTTTTAGATCCGAGTTTACCGCGAACCTCTAACCGCGGTTTGCGGTTACCCGATTGCGGTTCGACGTTCAAACATAATTTGATTTAGATTGGCGGTGGATTAAAGAAGTGGATTCTGGTTTATTTTTCCATTTAGAAATAGAAGAAAAATCAGTCAGTGAAAACAAAAGAAATTTACGGCAACACTGGATTATCTATAGCAGCAAAGAGCTGTAAATTCTTACATTAGTTCTTCTTGCAATTTCACGGGCGCCATTTGAATCAGCAGCCATGAATGGCACTTGTTTTCAAGATCCAATAGGATTTATCAAATTCATCATTTCGCCCGAATTTGTGCCTCTGTTAATGGATAAAGACTTGCTCCACAAGATTTTTGTATCATTGCGTGGAATTAAACAAGAATTATACGCTAAAAGCTTTCAGGTAAGTGACATACGTGAAAACCCAGCTCGCCACGTTGAAAACGCACGTCGTAAACCTCAAACGTGAAGCGAAAGACTTCTCACGTGACCTCCAGCGGTTAGAGGTTCTCGGTAAACTCGGATCTAAAACTCTCTATTGTGCACTAATTCGCAGAGGCCATATACAGAAGGTTTAAAGCGTCTGCGAGGCAGGCAATGAAAAAAGAATGTTGACGAATACTTCTCTAATCAAATTACTGAATGCACTTTCCTGTGCCCAGAAGCTAATATTTGTTCGTGAGCATTTTTTCATGTAAACTGGTAGGTTTGCGTTTGCAAACTTCATCTATATTTTCACTCTAGAATTATTATTTTATGAGTTTCTTTTTTCGCTTCCTTGGCTGCCCCTGGTAGTTCAATTTGGGCAATCTTAATTCTTGAAAGTTATGCCAGCCAACGTTTCAGAAAGCTAGTCCACTTTAGGAGACTTTACATAGCATGCCGTTTAGTTATGGCAGTTTTACCTTCTGATGTGACAAAACGTTTGATTACACAGCACGTATCAAAAAAAATTTCCGCAAGCATGAAGGAAAACAAACATTGTAAGGACGTAACAAAAAGAAGGAAAGTAGTTTGTAGTTTGACTTAGTGCATTAAAATCTAATGATAATCTGACACTCAATTCTCTAATTATTATTAAAACATGGTAACGACTATCAGTTCCTAAATATTTTGACCTTTGATCTATGTACAAAATTGTAATGTTAATAAAAGTACTTTCTTTTAACGTGAACTTTGTAAACACTGTTGCTATTTGAGTAGTACAATGAAGTTGATCTCGCCTAGCTTCACACTGGATTCTGTTTAGTTTTATTTATAAGAACTAAGGACAAGTCCAATAGGCCATTTCCGAGTTGCCCAAAGCCTTTGTTTCGAAGCGAGGCTATAAGTGCGAAGCCTTTGATAGAATAAAGAAAAACTGACATTTTTCTTTTGTTGTTTTACCTTCACAAAACATCACAAACAACCTTTTTAAGTAAGATTTGGCAAAGATCTTTCTTCCCAAGCCTTTATAAAAATGTAAAAGATCAAACCCAATCCGTTTCTGAAATGACCGCGCGATTTTGACTAAAGGGAATGGAACGAGCTTGCTACAGCGAACTTGATAAAGCCTGGTTTCCATGCATATGATCGTCCCGATCGTCCCAGTCGTCTCGAATAATGTTCAGACGATCAGAACGACCATATGGGAACACTGCCAGGACGATCTCAAACTACCCAGACGTCTGAGACGACCTCGATCGCTTGACTGGAATTGAGTTCTATCCGGACGATCGGGACGATCAAGTAAATTTTGAAGCGATCATATAAAAACGCTCTCAGCAGTCGACTGAGACGATCGGAACGATCTAAGGCTTTCCCAGAAATCAGCAGTCTTATTCCAGTAATCGGGAAAAAGTCGGCCTGGACACCGCTGAGGTCGAAAAAAAATCTGAAACAAAAATGTTACCACCGAGTGTGGACTCTATTCGAAAAAAAAAAAAGTCCGTTCCATCACGTTCTCGACGTGACGTCACTATGTCTTCGTGGAATTCTTCTAGCTCGTCTACGCCGAAAAATCGAAAGAAAAAGCGGACCGCAAGACACGAGTCCCCAGTCTCTTTCTCTAAAAAGCCGTTTCCTGTTCCCGTTTAGTATATCATATGAGTGTTTTGTTTAAGTGAAAATAACTGCCTTTCAGAAATATTAATGTGAAGAAACAATTTTAGGACACTTCTGAATTGTAAGATCATGATAAAAATTCAAAAGAGAATAAGAATGAAGCCATTAGTACACATTGGGAAAGAGAAAGTAACGTATTAATATAGTATACGTTGTTGACAAGACTAATAAGACCTGCAAATCCTCCGCATTCCCTAACTTTTGGCTATGACTAGTATTAATTTCAAACAAATCGATTGATAGTCATCTTTAGCTTGTTTACTTTGTTTTCCCAATGAAGGTCTCAGGGCAATTTTACTTTCTAATTGTAAGAATAAATACTATTAATTTATATTATTATATTCATACAAATATTTTCCGTTTCTGATTGGCTCAAATCCTGCGGCTTATTCTTCATAACCACGTAGGCTGGACAAAGGTAAAAGTTTGCGATATAGGATAAAATATAATAACATCAATAGTACCGGTTATTGCCAGAAAGGGCATGAAAACCGAGAAGCCCTGGAGACGAGATTGCGTCAGCTCACTTCTTTTGGTAGAACTGGAGAAAGTGGCGGGAAAATTCTAATTTCATGCGTTTTGCAACTCGCTTCTGCCTAAAACCACGCGCAAAAAGAAACTACAACTCAACAGACGATAACTGCTATTTAAATAATGGGTTCCTGATATCCCTTTGTAATCTGAATTTGCCCAGAAAAAGCTAAATAAAGACGGGAACTAAGCTTGAAGCATGTTTTAAAGTGCGTATTATTTTGAAGGCCTTTTGACCTCGGCGGAAAACACCCTCCTCGATCTGCATAATTATTGAGATCATGCTCAGCAACATAAAATAATTGCTAAACTGACAGGTATTTTACACCTTCTTCTTTTTCACCGGGCATGGGGTCGGACTAGCGTACGTTTGAACATTTGCTAAATTGATTGTTACTGTAGCCTTCCTTTTATTTTTGTTCAAGTCCAATTGGTCGGACAATGGGAATTTTGATTCTACCATCTCAAATTTTCTTCAACATGAATCGAAATTAAAACAAATAAAAAATTTGGTAATACAGCGTAAAATATTGATATCATTAAACACATCTTACAATAACTCAATCTCAATAAATCCACAGCAAAGCTTAAGAAACAATAGCCATGGTAACTCTTCCATTTCTTCCATTCCCGGTCTTTTACCGCCGCCGCCACCACCATCGTCTCATCACCACTGCTTGCCCTGTTCGGAATGCGTAAACACTAAGAATCAATAAGCAACACGTTGTAAAAAAAACTCATTATTTTCAATCAGTCGACTGATACATGAAGAAGCTTTCCTGGCCGTTTATATAGATGCGAAAGATCTCACATTAAGTTAAGACCTCTCAAATTCCATTCATTTTATAATTATGGAAATGTATATTTAGCGTTCTCTGAAATACATTCAAATCAAGTTTCCATAGTTATCAAGCATGTTAAAGTGCTATGATAATCAACAGGGTGACTGCTGAAAATCATGCTGGTGAGATATATTTTATAGTTTTATTTTTCTAAATCTCTGGGTCAATAAATATTATCATCACAACTGAAGTGTAATCATAGCTTGCTACTGGTACTTCAAATGATTCATTTGCAACCAAAGAAAAAATATATAAATAAATTCTATTAATTCCTTGCCTTGTGTTCAGCAATCATTTCAATATCATTTTAATTTACAGAAACCATGATTTTGAAACATACACAATATCTGTGGTTACAATATGTGATTACTTCCTCGCTTTGCTTTCACCTTGGTACATTGAACGCAAAGCTTAAAAATGCTGACGTGGGCCTTTTTGATCTGAAGGAAAGATTTCTTTCAATATAGACGGTCCTTCGAGTGTTAAGTGAAACGAACATATGCGCAATTGATAAATTGAAAGTCGGGATGCCTTCTAAATATTTAATGTGACTGAATATATTACTTAGTTTTCTGTTCTTCTACAGACTTGTCTCAAGTGTTATGCTATCGAGTAAAGCCGCTTTCTATTGGTTTAAAAGAATACATCTGACAATAAGCCATGAAGCTGGTAACAAGAATCAAGCCATAAGGGGCCAATATTGGAACCAAAGGATAAATTCGCGATGACAGTGAAAAAGGTATCGTTTGAGTTTTTAAGGTGAAGTCAGTGTAATTTTTTCACGGCTTAAAGTGTTGATGTTTTTCTTTTCGACAGGTTGTAAGTCTGGTTTTATGTTTGGGTTTGGTGAACGGACGGCAATTGCTTTTTTGTGAAGGTAAATATATGTTTATCCAGCCAAAGGGAGCGATTCCTTTTTGAAACCTTTTTATGCTGCAACTGTTTTCCCTGTCAAGGTTGACTAGATAGCATATGCCGGCTTTTCGTAACGCGCAATCAGTGTTGAACAATAGTTAAAACCTTACCAGTGGTATAGAGGCAATCCCGGAAAATTCAATAAAGACAGCAAAAAAAAAACTCTCCTTGAACTGAAAAAATCTAAGTAAATTCAAGAAACAGGATTAATAAATATAACTACAAGCGGATATGTTTTACACAGGCGATGCACAAGTGAGTGTGATTCGTTTATTTGGCGTCCTTCAAACATGCAATATTTATTATAATCATAGCGTTATGGTATAAAAATCCAGTTGCAACACAAAAATTCTTTATAATATTTGCAGTATTTAGCTTTTCCCGAGCTAGTAATATTTTGAATTAAAAGAAAAAGAAAAAAATCGTTTCGTGCCTGTCTGTTAATTAAATTGTGTTTAAGACATAATGTCAATCCCGCAGAAAAAGATACATACATTTGTTTAAAATACATTAGAAGACTAGCAATTTGTATAAGCTTATCGCATTTTTTATCGTTTAACTGAGAACCATTGTTTAAACACTATAATAGGCGTCGATTTTAATATTTGACTATATTGTAAGAAAAGTTATTATTGTGTCAAAACAAAATTTTCAGAACCCACGTAATCAAGTTCCCTGTGGATAGTGATTTGTCAAATTAGAAATGCTATTTGATAACTGTTGAAAGGTCCATATTCATATAAATATGTGAATGAGATAAGTTTGACTCGAGCCAAGAGCGACAGAGCTAAAAGAATCGTCGGAAGCAGATGGAAAGTTCTATTATCACAGCTTGCGTTCTCCTAACAGGAGATTTTTATGCACGAACCACCAAAACCACAATTTAAGAAACTACAGAATTTAAACTTTATTAAGCAGGATTAAACATAATGTGAATTTCAAAACACTGAACACCGAAGACAAAATAAAAAGTTAAAACTAAAACATGAAAAGCGCAATTTTGTTCCTTTAATTTTGCTTTTTATTTCTCAATCGGAAAACTTGAATGTTTCTTTTTAAAGCAAGTACTACAAGTATAGTGGTTAAAATGAAAAGAAAAACAAATGAGATCACTTTCTTTTCTAACCAAGTGCACTGACACTGCTGCGTGCTAAGTTGCACTTGATAAGATCAGTTTTAACAAATGGATTTTCTAATTGCACTTCTAATTTAAATTGCTTTGAAATGCTTGAGTCACATTTGGCAAGTAGTTCACGGTAGAATCGCAGACAGTACTAGGATAATCTAACAGATCTGTATCCCCTTATGCTTCAGAAATGGATGAAAGGTGTAAAAGACATTATGTGAAAAAAAATTTTCGATTGTTTTATTTAGAACAGAATTTAAAGCCAGCCAGAGCTGACGACCCACTGGCCGAGTTTTCATTTTTTCTGCATCAGCGGCTGCAAGTTTCCAAAAAATTTTCATTTCAAGAGTTATCAACTACGGAGTGTGCTCGGTTATGCCTGCAAGTTACGGAGCAACTTAACTTCAATTGTAGCTCATTTGAGTATGAGGTTACTAAAAATGATTGTTTTCTGATGGGTTCATCCTGCCTACATCACCAATTAATTTACGATGGATTGAGAGACTATTACGAACTGAAAGGTAAGTGTGAAGTGACCGGTTGCGTATTATAATCGGATTTTGAAGCTCTTGGGGATCACCTAAATCAGAATCATCAGATTATCATCAAGAGCTGACTGGGAATCACATTAAATTGCGATTTAAAGCCACTGATCACTAGGGTGCGAGACTAGGGGTGTACTCCCTCGTACAGCCATAGTGCCACTGATAATTTCATAGAGGCCAGATCTGAAAACGGGTATGGAAAATGAAATTTTTTGGTCTAAAAAAGGGGCAGGATTTGGAGGACCGGGCGCTAAATGTACACGCACACCAAGAATTTCCAGGATTACCCGGGGGGGATGCAAGGATAAGTACAAACGGTTCAAAGGGAGTGCTAGCTTTCTAACAGTTCTCGGTGCATTAACCTGCCTTTTTTCCCTAACTACATGTGCAGCCATTACCATGCAAGAACGAGAGCAAACGCAAACAAGCTTCATTATTAATAAATCTTTCGGGATTGACCATTTCCAGAATTTGTTGAGTTGCACGTACGATATAAATGTCATCACGTAATCCATACCAGACAGTCATTAAATTAAATTTGACCCCAAATGTCACGAATAGTATCAAAACTGTATTTCGGCCCAAATGACTTCCCAGATCTACCTTTTTTGTCTTCGTGAAAATATTGATGTTTAAGACTGACATGAAATGCTCGATATACCAGAATTTGCAATCAAAGCTCTCAGATAGTAACAGAGTCACGAAAAGAAGGTCTAACGAAAGTGGGACGGGGGTGATCTGGGGATAGGAGGCGGTGGCAGGAATTAACCGCGGTCAAACGCTCGAGCATGCGCAATGCACTCGTATCCGGTCCCAGCCGGGGAAATTTCCCGCGCGAAATTTTAATTGAAACCATTGCAGAGACCGGTGTCAAGCAAAGCATAGTTGAACAATCGTCAGAAATACGCTAAAGTTAAGCGAAATACTTCAAAGTGAAGGTTTTTGTTTTCACAGTTAATAGTTAGATAAATTTTCATTATTATCCGAGTTCACTAAATTTTTTTGACCTTCACTAAAAAAGTTCTTCGTGTTAAAAGAGCCGACATGCGAAAGCTTGTCGTCGCCATTTGTTTAGACTTGTTTACTGAATGTCGCTGTTCCAATGCGTGATGAGTCCAGGAAGGGAGAAGCCAACAGGAAGAGAAAACTGTAGTCAAAAACAGCTCCGGAGTGTTGATTAAGTTTTATCGAGGGCAGAAGGGGTACCTGCTGAAGGATCATGGCCTTGCCTGAGGCATAGAAACGCGATACTTGCCGAGGACAAACGCTGCTCCTGTCCATCTTCGTGGGGACACAGTAAAACCATTTAAAATTCCAATCGTCGAGAGACTGTATGCAGTATTTGACGAGGTGGACAGGAACAACCTGACAACGTTACCCACTACAAACCTCGGACAAAATGGTGCAATAATTATGCAGAAGCAACGCAGTTAATAAATCTCTTCACTCCAAAAACAAACGAAAGAGACATCAGAAAATATGGTAAACCACACTTAACTAAAATTTTATTCTCAGCAATTTGAATTCACTGTCCTCTCATTTTAAGTAATATTTTATAAACGGATGAACAACTGTACAGAAATATTTTTTTCTCGGTTAATGGTTTTTTTTCAGCTTTTCCCTTCCCTCCCCTCCCCTCCCCATGACCTATTTCCTTGATTACCTTTTGAGCTCCTGATCAGGTGAGCCAAGGCTTTCAACATTTTGCTATATATAAACGCGGTGTGCTTGGCATTTTAAGCTCGTCAGAAGCAATTAACTACAACTGATCATTGAAAAACTGGTTGGAGTCATCCCTGTTTCCAGTTGTCAGAAAAAGAAATGGAAGTAAGGGGTGTCCTTTTTGTGATTGAAACAGAAGAGAAAAAACGGAATTTAACTTTTTCACTTCGACCATAATAATGCACTTTGTTTAAGCCAGAGAGGTGATCAAAGATCAAGAAGGAAGACTTTAAGAAAAAGCAGAAAAAATAACAATAATAAACAGGTAACAAAGCCTTGAGAGGATAGCTGCCCATCTCCAAATGATGGCTGGTCAGTTAGACTGCTTGGCTAACAAGATTTTCTAAAAGATAGTCTAAAATACTGTAAGAAAGAAGACAAAATTGCAAATAAAATTTAGTGGAACCTTTATTTGTCTTTTCAGTTAAATTAGGTGTTCTTTATGTACATCATTTCCATTCTTTCTTCTCATTTTGCATCCTTTTCTCATGGATCTGCTTCTCCTTCAGTGTCTAGACTCTATGTCTTCTATTCATCCCCTTCCTAACTTTCTGTACAAAAATAAGATAGATTTAATCAAATAAATAATAAGTTGTCAGATTGTTATAACAAAAACAAAACTACAGTAGATACCAAGTGCCTTTCCTTTTAATGCTATACGAGCATCTAGTAACCCACAATAATCTCTAACTCGTATTATTTGGCCCACTTTAAAGATGCATACAAGATCATTAAACACCATGGCAGTTAAATCAACACAGAAGGTTGTACAACTGAGACCTCATTTACCACCACTCCCCTCCCCCTATTGCTAGTAATTTAAACTGTAAAACTAAGACCAAGCTGCGAGCATTGAATGGACAGCGTAATGAAAACAGAAGCCTAGTCATGAATGTAAACAAACATGAAGAATAAGCAATAGTGTTGAAATGACAGCATGTACACTGATGTCTGGTCAATTTGCAATGTCAAACAGTCAAAAATAATCTTATGCTGCTGTGATTATTGAACTTATGTGTGGTTATTAAACATCTGCTAAAACAAAAACCTTTTTCCCCTCACAATGTGCCTGGCCTAAAACAATAAATAACACCGACACTATAGATGTTCATACATCTTTTTTGAGCTCGATTATGTTTACTAAACTCATGTGATGTGGTCATTGAATTTTATGAATGAGATCTAAAATAATTATTCATTATCGATACATTTTGTTTGTTATTAATACAGACTTAAACCCTGAGCGAGATAATATATTTGATGTGAAAAGATAAGAACAAGCTTAAAATTAAGGTCGTCAGTCATAAAAGAACAGTTTCATCGCAAAAAAAAAGACAACCAGACAATTTACTAAATTTTTTATTTTGCAGAACGAACCAGAGCCCAAAAGATATGGTTTGTATTAAATAAAAATACCAACCATTCAAATTACGTTCAAGCCAGTGTTAGTATAAAAACATTACAGAAAGCTTAAACAATTTAAAACTATTTAAACTTGAGCTATACTTTTAGCGGCCACAAATGTGTGCCACCATTTTGATCAACAAGAGCATAAGAGCACTTGGGGAATATTATGATTGTCAAAGGCAAGTTTACTCATACTTACATTTCCTGTTATACGTTCTTCGTATTCTTCCTATTCATCGCCAGTGAACTTTCTTGAAATACAAAGAAAATTTCTCTGTTCTTGCCCGCAAGAAGACGTAGCCACATGTGTATAGATTTTCCAAATCGAATGCAGCGATCACCAAGCAAATCTTCGCGCATGCTCAGACGTTTGACCGCGGTGGATGGCAGGAAAAGAGCCTCGAAGCTCCTTTCCCAGGCCCCCGCTGGTGTTTTGCACTAGTTTTCATGTTTCAGACGATCTTGGAGCCAGAGCAGACTATAATCAAGATTTTTGAAACTGTAGAATGTAAATATCATGTTTATGCCTCTCTTACCTTCCAGCTCCCAATGGAACATCATCTTGTAATATTCGTCCCTCTTCCTCATCACTGTTGACTACCAACTATCTCAAAAAGACAACAGAGATTCACGCCACACCTGCAGTCAGCTCAGTCTTGATGACTAAACCTTTATCAGGTTTGAATTTCATTTTTTGTTTACCCTTGCGTAGTGTTAGAGGTGCTAATTTGTATTTTAATGTGCAGCATTGAGGTACATCTAGCCCCTAGGTATGCGGTTTTTTATCCTTTTGGGTGATGATGTTAGTTAAAAGGAGATGTTCTACGTTAATGCGGTACCGTCCATTTGAGCTCTCCTGTCTAATACAGGTCAAAACAATATACAACACAAAGCACGGTAAACTAAACGGGTTAATGAGAGTTAATTTTTTAAGTCTTTGGACATAACTGGTAAATGAATGCACAATTTTCTGACAGTAAATCTCCAATGAAATCGAAGTTGCAGCCAATGACCGAACTTTTTAATCGTTGTACCGAGGTCTTCTCACGTTTGCTTCAATGGCCTAGAAAACGGGCGGATGGTGTGCATAGGGTTTCTCTTGGAATTTAAACTCTGAGGTTTGTCTGCTATTAAGAGTCACGTGGCCTAGTCACTTTGGTTCCACCACGGGCGTTCTCTCCGCCCGCCCATGTGCATAAAAATGCTTGGGCAAGAAAGTAACAGATGACTTCCCTCAAATTGAACGATATCTTTATTATCCATTTATTTTGTTTAGCATTTAATTCATCTTCAAAAACAAGTCAAACGGGATCTTTATTCAGCTCTTTCACAGCAAGTACAGCGAATTATTCAGCATCAGGTTTGTCAGCCGTGGTTAACATTTGTGTACCGCATTTAGTATGTTCAACATTTTAATATGCAAGTTTATGTTTTACCCAACCAACAGGGAACAATCAAATTTCACGTAAAGTGAGCATAATCAGAACAAACTTCTCAGCAAAAGGTTCTTGTGAACGTATTTACGAGTGTGCTATTTATGGTGTTGAACGTTTTACGTGTTGTTTACTAAATATTTTGCTTCATGTACTGTACCTCAACAACAGTTCCTCGTACCTCGAACGATTTCAGTGCTCTTGAAATTGTCTTTAAAATGTTCTTCCTGCTTTCAGCGCAGATTATCCAGCCGACAGAAATCGTAACCAATGTATCTATTGTTGATCAAAAGACAACGGTAAAAATGTCAGGTTAGTATCCTGTCTTACTCAACAACCAGCTACAAAACAATTTGAAGAAAGTTAACTGAAGTCTGTGCGACAAGGAAATCAGCAATCATTATGTCGTACTTACTTATCATGTTTGAATGCACCGTGAGAATCAAAGAACGGGTGCAATTTTTCTTACTACGTCAGAACGAAAAAATTTGGACAAACAATTAGGCTGTCCCTGTTACTTGCTCAAATGACATTGCCTTGTTGAAAATCGATATATTTACTTATATGCGTACGTTTGAACATTTGCTAAATTGATTGTTACTGTAGCCTTCCTTTTATTTTTGTTCAAGTCCAATTGGTCGGACAATGGGAATTTTGATTCTACCATCTCAAATTTTCTTCAACATGAATCGAAATTGAAACAAATAAAAAATTTCGGTAATACAGTGTAAAATATTGATATCATTAAACACATCTTGCAATAACTCAATTTCAATAAATCCACAGCAAAGCTTAAGAAACAATAGCCATGGTAACTCTTCCATTTCTTCCATTCCCAGTCTTTTACCGCCGCCACCACCATCATCTCATCACCACTGCTTGCCCAGTTCGGAATGCGTAAACACTAAGAATCCATAAGCAACACGTTGCAAAAAAAACCTCATTATTTTCAATAAGTCGACTGACACATGAAGGAGCTTCCCTGGCTGTTTATAGACGCGAAAGATGTCACATTAAGTTAAGACCTCTCAAATTCCATTTATTTTGTATGGAAATGTATATTTAGCGTTCTCTGAAATACATTCAAATCAAGTTCAAGAAATATATATTCCCATGGTTATCAAGCATGTTAAAGTGCTATGATAATCAACAGGATGACTGCTGAAAATCATGCTGGTAAGATATATTTTATAGTTTTATTTTTCTAAATCTCTGAGTCAGTAAATATTATCATCAAAATTGAAGTGTAATCATAGCTTACTACTGGTACTTCAAATGATTCATTTGCAACCAAAGAAAAAATATATAAATAAATTCTACTAATTCCTTGCCTTGTGTTCAGCAATCATTTCAATATTATTTTAATTTACAGAAACCATGATTTTGAAACAAACACAATATCTTTGGTTACAATATGTGATTACTTCCTCGCTTTGCTTTCACCTTGGTACATTGAACGCAAAGCTTAAAAATGCTGACGTGGGCTTTTTTGATCTGAAGGAAAGATTTCTTTCAATGTCCTTCGAGTGTTAAGTGAAACGAACATACGCGCAATTGATAAATTGAAAGTCGGGATGCCTTCTAAATATTTAATGTGACGGAATATATTACTTAGTTTTCTGTTCTTCTACAGACTTGTCTCCAGTGTTATGCTATCGAGCAAAGCCGCTTTCTATTGGTTTAAAAGAATACATCTGATAATAAGCCATGAAGCTGGTAACAAGAATCAAGCCGTAAGGGGCCAATATTGGAACCAAAGGATAAATTTGCGATGACAGTGAAAAAGGTATCGTTTGAGTTTTTAGGGTGAAGTCAGTGTAATTTTTTCACGGCTTTAAGTGTTGATGTTTTTTTTTTGCGACAGGTTGTAAGTCTGGTTTTATGTTTGGGTTTGGTGAACGGGCGGCAATCGCTTTTTTGTGAAGGTAAATATATGTTTATCCAGCCAAAGGAAGCGATTCCTTTTTGAAACCTTTTTATACTGCAACTGTTTTCCCTGTCAAGGTTGACTAGATAGCGTACGCCGGCTTTTCGTAACGCGCAATCAGTGTTGAACAATAGTTAAAACTTTACCAGAGGTATAGAGGCAATCGCGGAAAATTCAATAAAGACCGCCAAAAAAAAAACTCTCCTTAAACTGAAAAAATCTAAGTAAATTCAAGAAACAGGCTTAATAAATATAACTACAAGCGGATATATGTTCTACACAGGCGATACACAGATGAGGGTGATTCGTTTATTTGGCGTACTTCAAACATGCAATATTTATTATAATAATAGCGTTATGGTATTAAAATCCAGTTGCAACACAAAAATTCTTTATAATATTTGCAGTATTTAGCTTTTCCAGGGCCAATAATATTTTAATTTAAAAAAAAAGAAAGACTGAAATCGTTTCGTGCCGCAAGGAGAATTTATGCCTGTCTGTTAATTAAATTGTGTTTAAGACATAATGCCAATCCCGCAGAAAAAGATACATACATTTGTTTAAAATACATTAGAAGACTAGCAATTTGTATAAGCTTATCGCATTTTTTATCGTTTAACTGAGAACCATTGTTTGAACACTATAATAGGCGTCGACTTTAATATTTGACTATATTGTTATAAAGTTATTATTGTGCCAAAACAAAATTTTCAGAACCCACGTAATCAAGTTCCCTGTGGATAGTGATTTGTCAAATTAGAAATGCTATGTAATAATTGTTGAAAGGTCCATATTCATATAAATATGTGAATGAGATAAGTTTGACTCTAGCCAAGAGCGACAGAGCTAAAAGAATCGTAGGAAGCAGATGGAAAGTTCTATTATCACAGCTTGCGTTCTCCTAACAGGAGATTTTTATGTACGAACCACCAAAACCACAATTTAAGAAACTACAGAATTTAAACTTTATTAAGTAGGATTAAACATAATGTGAATTTCAAAACACTGAACACCGAAGACAAAATAAAAAGTTAAAACAAAAACATGAAAAGCGCAATTTTGTTCCTTTTATTTGCTTTTTATTTCCCAGTCGGAAAACTTGAATGTTTCTTTTTAAAGCAAGTACGACAAGTATAGTGGTTAAAATGAAAAGAAAAACAAATGAGATCACTTTCTTTTCTAACCAAGTGCACTGACACTGCTGCGTGCTAAGTTGCACTTGATTCGATCAGTTTTAACAAATAGATTTGCTAATTGCACTTCTAATTTAAATCGCTTTGCCTTGCTTGAGTCACATTTGGCAAGTAGTTCAAGGTAGAATCGCAGACAGTACTAGGATACTTCTAACATATCTGTATCCCCCCTTACTACTTTAATTTAATTCGCTTGCTTCCAGTTGAGTCACATCAGAAATGGATGGAAGATGTAAAAGACATTATGTCCAAAAATATTTTCGATTGCTTTATTTAGAACAGAATTTAAAGCCAGCCAGAGCAGACGACCCACTGGCCGAGTTTTCATTTTTTCCGCATCAGCGGCTGCAAGTTTCCGAAAAATTTTCATTTCAAGAGTTATCAACTAGGGAGTGTGCTCGGTTATGCCTGCAAGTTACGGAGCAACTTATCTTCAATTGTAGCTCATTTGAGTATGAGGTAACTGCAAATGATTGTTTTCTGATGGGTTCATTCTGCCTACATCACCAATTAATTTACGATGGATTGAGAGACTATTACGAACTGAAAGGTAAGTGTGAAGTGACCGGTTGCGTATTATAATCGGATTTTGAAGCTCTTGGGGATCACCTATATCAGAAACATCAAGTTATCATCAAGTGCGGACTGGGAATCACATTAAATTGCGTTTAAAAGCCACTGATCATTAGGGTGCGAGACCAGGGGTTTACTCCCTCATACAGCCATAGTGCCACTGATAATTTCATAGAGGCCAGATCTGAAAACGGGTGTGGAAAATGAATTTTTTTGGTCTGAAAAAGGGTCAGGATTTAGAGGATTGGGCGGCACATGTATACGCACACCAAGAATTTCCAGGAGCACCGGGAGGGGATTCAAGAACAAGCGCAAACGGTTCAACGCAAGTGCTAGTTTCCTGACAGTTCTCGGTGCATTAACCTGCCTTTTTTCCCTTTTTTCTACCATGCAAGAACGAGAGCAAACGCAAAAAGTTTAATTATTAATAAATCTTTCGGGATTGACCATTTTCAGAATTTGTTGAGTTACACGTACGATATACATCTAATCACGTTATCCATACTAGTCAGTCATTAAATAAAATTTGACGCCAAACTTCACGTGTAGTATCAAAACTGTATCTCGGCCTATATGACTGCCCAGATCTACCTTTTTTGTCTCCGTGAAAATATTGATGTTTAAGACTGACATGAAATGCTCGATATACCAGAATTTGCAATCAAAGCTCTCAGATAGTAAGGGAGTCGCGAAAAGAAGGTTTAACGAAAGTATGACGCGAGTGATCTGGGGATAAGAGTAGGTGGCAGGAAAAGAGCCTCGAAGCTCCTTTCCCAGGCCCTCGCTGGTTTTTTGCACTAGTTTTCGTGTTCCAGACGATCTTGGAACCAGAGCAGACTATAATCAAGATTTCTGAAACTGTAAAATGTAAATATCATGTTTATGCCTCTCAAAACCTTCCAGCTCCCAATGGAACATCATCGTGTAATATTCGTCCCTCTTTCTCATCAATGTTGACTACCAACTATCTCAAAAAGACAACAAAGATTCACGCCACACCTGCAGTCAGCCCAGTCTTGATGACTAAACCTTTATCAGGTTTGAATTTCATTTTTTTGTTTACCCTTGCGTAGTGCTAGAGGAGGGGGCATTAGGATTTACGGTATTGAACTTTTTCTCAAGCGATATTTCGGTAATTTGTACCTTAATGTGGGTTATTGACGTACATCTAGCCCCTCGGTATGCGGTTTTTTATCCTTTTGGGTGATGGTGTTAGTTAAAAGGATATCTTCTACGTTAATTCGGTACCGTCCATTTGAGCTCTCCTGTCTAATACAGGTCAAAACAATATACAACACAAAGCACGATAAGCTAAACAGGTTAATGAGAGTTAATTTTTTAAGTCTTTGGACATAACTGGTAAATGATTGCACAATTTTCTGACAGTAAATCTCCAATGAAATCGAAGTTGCAGCCAATGACCGAACTTTTTAATCGTTGTACCGAGGTCTTCTCACGTTTGCTTCAATGGCCTAGAAAACGGGCGGATGGTGTGCATAGGGTTTCTCTTGGAATTTAAACTCTGAGGTTTGTCTGCTATTAAGAGTCACGTGGCCTAGTCACTTTGGTTCCACCACGGGCGTTCTCTCCGCCCGCCCATGTGCATAAAAATGCTTGGGCAAGAAAGTAACAGATGACTTCCCTCAAATTGAACGATATCTTTATTATCCATTTATTTTGTTTAGCATTTAATTCATCTTCAAAAACAAGTCAAACGGGATCTTTATTCAGCTCTTTCACAGCAAGTACAGCGAATTATTCAGCATCAGGTTTGTCAGCCGTGGTTAACATTTGTGTACCGCATTTAGTATGTTCAACATTTTAATATGCAAGTTTATGTTTTACCCAACCAACAGGGAACAATCAAATTTCACGTAAAGTGAGCATAATCAGAACAAACTTCTCAGCAAAAGGTTCTTGTGAACGTATTTACGAGTGTGCTATTTATGGTGTTGAACGTTTTACGTGTTGTTTACTAAATATTTTGCTTCATGTACTGTACCTCAACAACAGTTCCTCGTACCTCGAACGATTTCAGTGCTCTTGAAATTGTCTTTAAAATGTTCTTCCTGCTTTCAGCGCAGATTATCCAGCCGACAGAAATCGTAACCAATGTATCTATTGTTGATCAAAAGACAACGGTAAAAATGTCAGGTTAGTATCCTGTCTTACTCAACAACCAGCTACAAAACAATTTGAAGAAAGTTAACTGAAGTCTGTGCGACAAGGAAATCAGCAATCATTATGTCGTACTTACTTATCATGTTTGAATGCACCGTGAGAATCAAAGAACGGGTGCAATTTTTCTTACTACGTCAGAACGAAAAAATTTGGACAAACAATTAGGCTGTCCCTGTTACTTGCTCAAATGACATTGCCTTGTTGAAAATCGATATATTTACTTATAGCAAAGAAATTCGGCTTAGCACATTCTTGAGCCCAATTATCCAACATAATCATTCTCATCTTTGCCCAGAAGAAGATATTTAGTTAAAACGTTATGTGACATATATTAAGAACGTACCGTTCAGTTAATTTCACCTTTGACGTTTCCATTCATTTTCTCCTTTTTATTATAGCTTATAACCGATCAGCAGCAATAATCCACTCGACGTTTGCAGAAAGCTCAGTCACAGCTAAAAGCAATTTAATAGGTGTGTTAAGAACTTTGGATGGATTCGTGATATTCTTCCTTTCTGCCGGTTATGAGATATTCAATAGATATTAAAAAATTCGTAGTCGTTGGAGAAAAAGTACATTGTAAACTCAGCTCAAGTCAGTGGCACTAAGAGCGACCGAGTCTTTACCTGTAAAAGGCATCCACAACTTAAAGTTGAAATATAAGGTTTTTCAATCAAACAAGTTATATGATGCTGATGAAATAACCTGTTACCGTAAAATTCCGAAAATAAGCCCCTCCATGCATAAGCCCCTCCAAATAGAAGCCCCTCAAACCGGTAACGCAAAACACCCTCTGGTAAATCACCCCTCCAAATATACTTATACTTGGAAAATTGCCCTCAAATACAAAGTAAAACAAAGCAAAAACGGTAAATTTACTTCCAACCATAAGGCTAGCCCTATCAGTTTCCCTCCGTAGATAAGCCCCTTCGAATATAAGCCCCTCCAAAAATAAGCCCCTCAAAAAGGGCCTTTGAAAAATATAAGCCCCGGGGCTTATTTTCGGAATTTTACGGTAACTTACAAGGGGAACATTTTGTGAAGAGCTCTCACTGGTAACAATCACCAGGGTAAAGGACTCGGATTCAAAGAAAACGCGGTGCTTTTGTTCTATCAAAGCAAGATTGACTATACAACTAGAAATATGTTATATGTTATTCAGACAATGCCTGACGAAATATAAGAAAATACGTTCAGCACATTCTCATGGCTATACAGTCAGCTTTACTTTAATACTTTCGTCTACGTGTTATTTCCACGACTTCCACAATTCACAATTCGTGGTATTGCCGTCCCAAACTCAGTAATTTATTCACTTCAATTAATTATAGATACCATGTCAGTCACAAAAAATTGCTAAAAAACCAGTCCGTTTATTACGAATTTTTCCACTGAATTAAATTCAACTTCTAAACCAAATCGCTATACAGTTGAGCCGATTTTGACAGGAACCTTTTAAGTCGATTATTTCGAACGACACACAAACAATTTCTCGAAAGTAAACCCTCTCAATCTGTCCTAAAGGAAACAATACGAACCTATTGAAATGTTTACACCTAACATGCCCGTTGTCGTCTTTACTAATAATTTGATTGAGGAGGGAGTGGACAAAAATGAAATAGTCGTCTTCTGTACTGATAAAGAAAACGAGTGGCCTTGTTGATGTAATTTTCCGAAAAACGATCAATAACTTCGTTCAATTTTTCAATGTTTAAGGCAGGAGCTGATGGAAATTTAATAATAACATAACATAATACTATGATATAGTTTCAGTATGTACTTTTGTTATAATTATGCTTGAAATTTTGAGAACATTTGCAACAATTCAAATGTATTATAAATGTTTTGAAATTGTTAAGTTACACATAGTTCAAGCCTTTTAACCATGACAAACATCAATATTCTTTTGACAGGAGGTTTTAATTAACAACAAGGTACTCGGTTATTTCCAATCCACAATTCTACGAAAATTTAACTTTTCACACCATTTTCGTTTAATCTTGGTTTAACTTCAGTCTATATATGACCAAAATTCGACAAAAAATTTAGTCTCAAATTAAAAATATTAATACTAGTTTAACGATAAAAATCGGCAGCAGTAATGGCCTATCGTATGGTTTCCATCGCCGGTTACTTGAATAGAAATTATGGGCATTTTCAAACCCAAAAACTACAGAGTTCGTCGTTTTCTATTGCAAGTTTCCATTCGATCAACCAAACGTATTGTTACTCTCCCTCAGTCTACAGAAATGCTTCGCTAGTAATTCTGAAACTTGCACTTTTTTTGCACTCAGATAAGATTTTTTGGTGAATCAGCACTGTCTATTTCGTTGTGCTGAAATGACTTATAAACATTTGCTTGGCAGTGAAAGGTGACTAAACTGAGAAAATTGAGTTCAATGTTTCTTTGTTACAAGAAAATTTCTGGCCCACCCTCGCGCTTATTTTCATTTTCATTAAATTTATTTTCTCTATGACAACATGAAGCGGCAAAACATTAAAATTTAACTGCAAATTAATCTTACTACCGTGATTTGGCTTTTTCTTGATATGGAACCAGAAAAGTTTATTCCACAAATTCTAGACATTTTGTCTTCACTTAATGAATAATGCAGAATAAAGGAAAGGAAATTTATATTCAATTTATGTCTTATAAATCTCTTAATCATAACAAGAAAAGATCGGAGAAATTACAGGAAAGTATTAATTTTGGTATTATTCATCCTTTTAGTACCAGGACTCGTATTTTCCTCGACTTTTTTATCTTGATATAAAAGTTATTTGGGGTTTAACTCAACATTAAAAGGATTTGCTTCCAGGATGATATTTTTTTCTCTTTTTCTAAGGAAAACCTCCAAATAACTTCAACGTCACCATACTTAGCCCAACAGAACTCCACCTATCCTGGTCCCCTGGGGATATATTGAGGCAGCTTGAAGATCCATGGGGATTCAGAATTGTTTACAAGTCTGTCGACGATAATGAAACGATCAGCATCTTGGCGGGTATAAAGGACACCAGCATTAATATATCAGGACTACTGCCCAACACAAGATATACGTTTTGGATCATGGGACTGACTGGGAAAGGATTTGGTGTCCCTTCACAAGCTGTCAATATAACCACTGGTCATCAAGGTGATTTATTTTTAAAATCTTTATCGTTGTTGTCAGTCTTTATGCTTCCTAGAGTTGGTGCAGTTAAACATGTTGGAAAATCTAGAGGATTTTGTCGAAAACGCTTGTTGGAAAAAATGGAAGGTGACAAGCTTACCACGATTTGGCAAAAGAGAAGTAAAGGGCCTCTGCTGGAAGATCATACCACTTATTAATAAAAGATTAGGAAAATATTGATGCAATAATGTGTTCAATTCTGCACTTATTTAGAAGCCTAACTGCAAATCTATAGCCTGTATACAGACGTTCCTCTATTTTTCTTTTCCTTAATCGGCTAATGCGCGAGAGCGAGCGCGAAGCGCGACAACGAGCGCGGAGCGCGTAAAAGAAAAAAGAGAACGTCTGTAGACATCTTTGGGATATAAGAGGTTTATCAAGTCCCTCCTCCATGTCAACTCCTTATCATTATCACCTCCGCGTTCGAAGTACCAATTAAATTGGACCAATGATATTGGAGATATAGATTGCTTGTGTAATTGACTTAATTATTATTTTACAACATTTTCGCAAAAGATCATTCAAACAATAACTCTCGGTTTCGCTGGTTTGTTAGTACTTTTGTTGAAGCATGTTACCCTGCGAGCAGGGGTTTCTCTCTTGCATGGCTTTTAGCGTTTACGAAGTCGTTCGCATGGCTTTTGTGTCGCGTAGTTGCTTTGTTTACGCCGCGTGAACAAACCAGCTACGCGACAGGCAAGCCACGCCAACGACTTCGTAAACGCTAAAAGCCATGCAAGCGAGAAACCTCTGCTCGCAGGGTAGAAGCATGTTTTCTTCAACTACGAAAAAGCTGGCTAAAAAAGGACCGAGGCCGTAACAAATCGGCCCATCACCACGCTTTCCATCTTTTATATTCCGATACAAAGGATATTGTCAGTACAAGCTTGTAGTATGACTGCATCCCAAGTTCACACGTCGGCGGCGCTTTCAACAGACTGAAGTTATGTTTTATTTATGTAAATTACAATAGTAAGTGTCGCAGTAAGCGTGTCCAGGCCTTGACAAACACTTCTACACGCATGACCCGAGCGTAATGAGTCGTTGACATAATGATGAAATGATAACCGCCGTTCAGCCAATGGTAATTTACTTTTACGAGAAAATGGAGGGTCTGTGATCAGGCTGGTAAAGGAAGTAAATTGTATTCCTAGCAACTACATTAGCTCGTTAGCTTTACGAAAATTTTGATAATTTGTTTCCTCACGTTTGAGATAAATGATCCTTTTTTTCTCAGCTCTACCATATATACTCATAAACATTACACTTCTACTGCTAAACAGCACCTGGAACAATCAGTATGGAAACAGAAGAAGTCAGGATTTCAAAAATTTGTCATATATTATAGAATACAGCGTGAGTATATCAGATTTAATTCTGTCCATTCAGCTTCAGTGATGTTTACTAGCGGGCTGGCCGGGGCGCGGCAGCCCCCCTTAGTTTCACAAATTTTGAAATTGTAAGCAAAACGCCCATAATTCGGGCAACAGCAGTTGACATAAATCTAAAAAAAAATGAAAAATCGACAGGCCAAATGAACACATGCCAAATCAAGGAGTGTGGTGACATTCACTCATTGTTTCCTGCGGTGTCCATCCTGAGTTGGAATCTTTGAGTTCTCTTCTCTTAACGCGATTTGATAAGATTTGATTTGTGAATGTATCAGTGTTAAGATTAAATCGTGGATTGCTGAATCTGATTTCTCATTTCACGGTGCTGGTGTGCCACAAAACCCTCAACACGCTTACAAGCGTTAGTCGGGGAAAACCAAAACATCGCGTTGCTCCTTCGCTATCGAAACCAAAGGATTACCATCGTGGCAACACCTTTTTGACCTCTCTAGGTAAGATCCTGGCCGAAAATAAGAATTCATTGGAAATGATTAAAACTCTTTGTGCGTTGGGTCATATCACCCTTAGTGATTCACCTACCAGTGATAGCTTTGACCTAACCGCGAGGTATTATGATCTTGACAAGGATCTATGAGCTTGGCAAGCAGACCAACGCCTGTTCAGCCAATTCAAGACAACACACGAAGAGGAAACAGCAAAAAACAGCTGCAGAAGTAATTATTAAAAAAAGTATTGCACGAAAAAAGCTTTTGGAAATGACCCCAGATCGAGTTCTCCAAGGTCACATCTATTCTGGCCGGCATCCCCGCGACATCATGCTTAGCGGTGCGCTCGTTCAGTCGCCTCTGGCGCTTGAAGACCTATCTTCGGAGCACTATGGGACAAAATAGCCTGGCTATCATTTGTATTGAGAGCTCTTATGGCAATAAATCCATTCTGAACAGTAT